TGAATTAATATACAGTAGAGCATCGATTATCCGACTCATTTGGGGACTCAGGTTGGTCAGATAACTGAAAAATCGGATAACCGAAAAGAAGGAAAAAAATACATTATTAGTATAGTATATTAGGATATTAGTATATTCCATGTAATTAGTTTATTATTATATTGCTATTAACCAACTTCGCGTTGAATTTTCATCGATATTTAGCCTAACAAATTTTTATTTTTTTAATAATAATCGTCGCTATTGTATCGTTAAAAATTATTTTTAAATTATTTTATTTCTCACGAAACAAACAACCACTCATAATTAGAAAATTAGGTCTCATTTAAATATTGGCCTCCCTTCAATGGTCGAGCCATTGATGCCAGCTAAAACATGCAAATATTTAACAAAAATAATATTAAAGTAGCCAAGATATAGCCAAATATTGTAATACCACATCACTAGCAGACATTTGAAATTTACCGACTAGAACAGTCTGTTAACCAATGTGACAGTTAATCGGGGGTCGAATAATCGATGCTCTACTGTAGTTGTAAACTAAATAATTTTATGCAACTTAATGAAGAATGTGATTTTTTTCATACAAAACTAAATATACAGAATTTTAGTTTATATTTTTGTCTATTGTTTTTGAAATGTAACTGAACAGTTAAGATGCAAAATTGCTGTCAGGAGTTGATGGTCAGTCTTATGAAATTTTATCTTGTCCATTTCAGATTAGGACAGTTATTCCATCCTTATGCATTTACAATCAGTTATAAGTATTGAAATAAGTATTTTTTCTTTCACTGTGAGTGCTATTTCAGTATGAATAAAATTATTGAAAGAAGAAAAAATTTTTAATATTATTCATTATTATAATATAATTAATTTCAATGCACCAAAAAAATTCTTACATTGAAATTATTTTGTGAAGTATCATATTTTAAAAAATTACATAATTATATAAATTATTACTTAATGAATATTTGCATTCATTTTCCTATGCTATCATTTAATAATATGTTCAGATATTCTAACAATTTGATTCTGTTTTACTATTATGCTTTTAATTATTATTTTAACCAATGCAAATTAACATTGAAACTAACATTCTTTTATCAAGATTTTTATCTAATTCTCTTCTTAAGCTTCACATCTTGAAGATCTTTTTCTGATGTACAGCCAATTTTTTGTAGAAGTGAGGTATATATTTTAGCTGATTAATAATAAATTAATTATAAATTTCCATTTTTAAATACAATTTTTAATTATAGAATGTTACTTGGAATGGGATTTTGTTGGTTGATTATATCAATTATTGCTCAGATATTTCATGTCTTCAGTAACTTAAATTTAAAGTTTACTTGGATGGAAGCCCAGTAAGAAATTTTAAAAATTTTTCTTTATGATTAGTTTAAGATTCAAATTGGATAAATATGAAATAAAAATTTATTTTCCAGAGCAGAGACTGCAAAGATATCATTAATATGCTTAATGTTAATCTGTTTAATGTGGAGTGATGCAATTTGTGTTGCTATTGCAACAAGCTATTCAGTATATTGCCAACTGATAATATCATATCTACATAATCTTTGTGGATCAGTGAGAGAGAAAACATTGACATTTCAAGATTTTATTCGAGTTAGTAGAATTTTCATATTATCTAATTATATTTAAATTAGTTAATTTTATTATTTGTTCATTGTTTAGGATTTGCAGGAATCAAGAAAATTTATTAAACATTTGAATAATGATCAAGCAATTGGAGTATCTCTATTAATACTTAACATAGGCAGTATTACTGCTGTTGGTATGTTTAACTTTAGTTTCCATTCTTAATTTGATAAGACAAATAAAATAAGGTAGATCATAATCAATATAATATGAAAAAAAGCAATAGAAAAAACTATTTAGGGAAAAAATATAAAAATGTTTGTATTATCATACAGTATAAGAGGATGCTGAAAAGTTTTGTATTGTGATAATTCAAGAGTAGAGATCAATTTTATTTAAATATTGTAAAATTAGTCAATAAAATAATGTAATATTTTAACATTAAAAGTGACACATTTGTCACACTTTTTGGAAAAGAGAAGTAAACTTTTTTTTAAACGTGATGTTATCACACCTCTCCAACCTTATCACACATCTCTGAAAAACATGTTATCTGAGTCAGGACAAATATCAGATCATCCCATAGATGATATGAATCAACGGATATGATTGGAGGAATTTTCTTATAAAAAAGGCAAATTCTCATTATTTGACATTGTCACCTTGAATAGGACAGATAGCCGAGGCAACGAGAGGAAGGAGACATCCCTAGAAGAGACATAGAAGGAGACAGCTGACAGCCATAGACAAGAGGCAGAGGAAGAAGATTCTCACATAGAAGAAAGTCAGGCATAGAAGCCCGTCTCGATTCTCTCCTCATCCAGGCCCTCCTCATCTCCATATCCACCAACCAAATAACCAGAGGTATTATCACTATTTTAACCGAATGTAAACACTCTCATAGTTAGAGGTGGAACAGTTCATTTAGTTTTTAGCTCATATTTTCCTTTGTACTTCTGATATCTCTTTGTTTTATTTTATGTAATTAAACGATTTTATTATTTGTTAACCTGTCTGTTTCCCTCTGTTAGTTAATTACAGACATTCACCCCGCTGTGATTGCAACTACCTGCGACTTCTCCTCACTCGATAGAATAGAGCATTCCGTTTAACCATAGCACGTAACATTGAGAGTTAGGGCATAAAACTTCTACCCTAGCTGGTATCAGTCCTGACAGTCCAACGGATTGAGATATCCAGACAACATTTTATATATTTAACTCCATCCACTGACAGAGTGAGTGGATCTTACTGATCCGACAATTAGAGGATTAGAATAGCTTTATATCCTCACCTGTATTCTGTGAAGTTCCAAAAACAGGTTGAAATTAAACATTTATTATAGAAATTTATTAGAACAAAAACTAGGAAAAAACCTCCATTGTTAAAACCAAAGATAAGAGAGTTGTGCTAGTCATATGAAACCGAGACAAGAAAAAAAAAATACTATTAATGTAAAACATGGCACAGTAAATGTAAATGAGCGTCCTCCAGTAGAGATGGACCTTTGACAAGATGCTCATATACAAATAATTAGAAGATAGAGAATTTTGAAAAGGGGAAAGGTTAATGATAAAAAGGGACGTCAGGTCATTAAAATTCTAAGACGTCATAGACTAGACAACAATCAGGTAAAATATGAGAACAAGTTCAAAGTCCCATCAATGCCTTCTGTCCAGAGTTAACTGATGGTATTGGGCAAATTCCCTGAAGCGGACCTTTCTCGTGACCCAAACAGGTCTTGTCTTTCGCTTAGGGACAGATGAGGGACAAATCGTGGGAGCAGATAAAAGGGACTTGAAACCAATCAGGATAGAAGAAAAGGGGAAAATGGAGATTGATATAATCCTGATTTTCAAGGACACGAGGGATTCTCTGAAAATGTTCCAACACAAAAAGATGGTGTGTGTCACACCCTTGGGACAAAGTTTTCCATCTTCATGCCTATACTGAAGTCATGCCGATACTGATGCCAACTGATGGAGTCTCCCCCACTTGTCTCAAGAACTGTTTAACAACACTGCCTGGGGCCACCTGCAACGATGAACAACAAAAAGAACATCGACGCTCAGGAAGTGAACTACAAGACAACATCGATGCTCAGGACTTCCGAACAGCTGATTGTGTTCAGAAATATTTGATTCGTAGTGTAAGTTTGTTTTATGCTAAAATAAACAGATTTTTTGTAAGATACTTGTCATCTTTGTCTCCTCTGCCACACCCACACACGAACATCCCTAAATCATCCTGATGTGGGATTAACAATTCCCCCTAAAAGTTGGCTAACTTGGGAAAGTTTGATCCAGGACAGGAGTTGGAATTTTCGTTGGGTGGAGAGACTCAGGAGATGGAGGTGGACCAGAGGAGATGATGATAGCAGCATGAAACAATAATCCATTATCGGCAGGAGATCGTATTTGGTATTCCTATAGGGAGATACAGGGTTCTATATCTGTGGTGAAACAGGTGATGACTGCCTCCTTTGGCTGTTAATTACGATATTAAAATTTGTAATGCACAGCCGGGAGGTCAAGGGATCATGGGAAAGCATCACTTTTGTTGTCGAGAAAATGTAAATTGAGATGTTCTCAGGTAACAGATGACAACAATTATTGAGTAGGTATGATGAAATCGATGACCAATTTTTGTCAAAGCTCAGATTATCACACAAGACTACTTCATAAATCATTCAGGAAGCTCTGAGAGAAAAAAAACTCAATTTATCCTGCACTATCCTTTATAGTCTTGATCTTGTACCAACTGACTCTCAGGTATTTCTAGCACAGAAATATGATTTCACAAGAAGGCATTTTATGACTGTAACAGTCAATGCTTTTGTGGAAATTTGGCTAAAGGTGGGGGAAAAAACAATTTTTTTATTGACAGAATACAAAACTGATTAATCACTAGAAGAAATGTATTGATAAAAGTTGTAATTATGTTAAAAATTTCTAAGCTTTCTTTTTAAAAAGCTTTCTTTAGTTGCATATCAAACTTTTAAAGTAATGAGTTATGAGCTTCTCTGCAAAACTTTTCAGTTTTCCTTTGTATTTTTGAATTTTTTTTATTAAAAAAATTAGTTTTTCAATAACTTTAAATTGATTAAAAAATTTTAAATGAGTTTTACATTAGTTATTAATAAGAAATATTCAATTTTTCAGCAATATATGGAATTTTAACTGGAAAAAATCATAGTATGAGTAATCCATTTTCTATTATCTCACTGTTAATAAATATCATATTATGGATTTCACTTTTAGCTAATCCTATTATCCAAGTAAGTTTTTTAAATATATATTAATTAATAATAAATAAATAAATATATGCATTTATAAAATTTCTTCAGGCATATGTATTATAATAGTATTATAGTCACTTAGAATGTTTGTATAATAATAATAGTTTGTACAACATACCAACTATACCCTATGCCGAAATAAACATACATGACATCTGATATGTTGTTAACAGAACATGCAACTGGAAGATACTGATATAGACAACATTCACAATTTCTGGTACAAAAAGTTTACATCACTGCACCAGGAACTAGCTAAACACCTAACACACATCATCATCAATCTATAAGACATGCCAAAATTTCTTTGGCATTGATCACCTACATGAAACCTAAAAACAACAGTATCACAGACTCCACACAATACAGACCAATTACATGTCTTCCAACACTCTACAAATTACTGACATCCTGTATTGCAAACAAAATATACAAACAAGTTGAAGAACACAACATTCTTACAGAACTACAAAAAGGTTGCCATAGAAATCACAGGGGATGCAAAGAACAGTTACTCATAGATTCAGTCATTCTACGGCATGCACACAAACAACACAGAAACATACACAAGGCATATATAGACTATAGAAAAGCATTTGACAGTGTTCCACACAGTTGGCTGCTACATATTCTACACATGTACAAAATACATCCATCACTCATTGCATCCTTCCAAAACACTATGCAGCACTGGAGAACAACACTACATCTCAGGATTCATAACACTTCCATATAAACAAACCAAATATTCATTAGGCGAGGAATTTTTCAGAGAGATTTCCTAAGTCCTCTCTAGTTCTGCTTAGCCTTGAATTCATTATCTAACATTTAAACAACATGCAATATGGTTACAATATCAGACATGAAAAAACAACACAGTTTACGCTGTCACATCTCATGTACATGGACGACATAAAACTTTATGCATCCACACAAAAACAACGTCATCAACTCCTACAAATCACACATTCATACAGCAAGGACATACAAATGGAGTTTGGCCTAGACCAGGGGTGGGCAACAGTTTTTGCCCCTGGGCCAAATTGGAAAGAAAACTTTTTCTACGGGCCGAACCAGAGGCTGCCCTAGGAAGATTTTGAGGTGGTGCAAGATCTCATTGTGGTGTCACTCCGTAGAGACTAAATTGTAGATAGAGATTACAGATACATTTTTTACATTATCATGCTTTATCAACATTCTACACTGTACTTACAAGATTTGTAATGGAGGGTTAACTCTAAATGCACAGTGAGTTATTGACCTTTTTTTTTTTAGGCGTCAGAATTTTTCATTGAGCTATTCGGACTTGAGTAGATAATATTAAAAAATTGATCATGGGCCACATAAATTCATTAGACAGGCCGTATGTTGGCCATGCCTGGCCTAGACAAATGCAAAACACTTCACATAGAAAAAGAAGTCCTGAAGAAAGACAATTTTGCATTGTAAATGGAGATGTTATTGAATCCATGGAAGAGGGTGAGTTCTACAAGTATTTAGGATTCCAACAGGCCAAACTAACAAAACATGCACAAATAAAGCAAAGATTAATTAAAGAATACCAAAATAGGTTAAATGCTATTCTCATAACACAGTTAAATGCAAAACACACAGTTAAAGCAATAAACACATATATCATCCCAGTACTCACTTACTCTTTTGGCATTATGCATTGGACTCAAGCAACTCCAAACTAAAACAAGAACAACACTTACTAAGAATAACCAACATCATCCTAAATCTGCCATAGAAAGATTAACCCTTCCACGTAAAAATGGCAAATGTGGCCTGATTGACATTGTTATAAATAACATTGCTAGACCCAATACACTATAAAGCTAGACTCCAACAAATGCCAATAAAGTTATTAAGAGATGGTGCCTAACACCTCTGTCTATTGCCAAATTGGTTGCATAATTTATTTAGTAATTAGTTGTATCTAGCCCAATAGAATTCGGCATTGGTTGGAGTCTAGCTTGACATAGTTAACCTTCACTACAAACAAATACAGACACTGCAAGAGTTATCCAAAAAACAAGAAACATCACAGTTACATAAAGCAGTAACTCTAGCAGACTCAAATAACACACCATTAAACTTACACTCACATCATACAGACTTGACACAACATATAAAAAGCATAGACACCATTAAGCAATCGTGGGCTCGAAAGGCACTCCATGGCAGACATCCTTATGACCTGGCCCAGGATTTTGTTGACAAAACTGTGTCAAACAGCTGGTTAGATTGGGGATGCCTCTTTGGGAAGACTGAAGGATTTATGATTGCCATACAGGATCATTCATAAATACTAAAAACTACAGAAAACACATACTCATAGATACAACACTCACAAATGACATATGCAGAAAATGTCATACCATACCAGAAACTATACAACACATCATTTCTGGTTTCAAGCTGTTGGAACAGACTGATTATTTATTGATACATAGACACATAAATTCCTGAATACAGACACACAAACTTATTTAATTTTAGTCATGTTTTGGTTTCTATGCCTTGACTCTGGTCTGTCATAGTACACAGCAACTGGTGTCAACTGAGTATAACCCACTAAAAAACTCAACATAATAATAATAATTGAACGATTGAAAAAACAACTCGCTGCTCTTTGGTCCAATCCAGTCACACAAAAATGAAACAAGCTAGATTAAAGATAGAACAAAACCTGACACAGACAACATTCACAATTTATGGTATAAAAAATTTATATGTCTGCACCAGGAAGTAACAATACAATTGTTGATTGTGTGTGAACACATAATCAACTAAATTGTTTTGCTAAATTAATAATTCAGAAGATATGCCAAAATTTCTTACATGAAGCATCAAATACATGAAATTTGAAAATAACACCAGACATCCTACGGATATCGGCCTTCTGACACTTTATCAGTGGCATGCCATCCATGGAAACTGGGAAGTGCCGCTTCCCTTGTATTTTCTAAAATACAGGGAAGCTACTTTGAATTACTTAAAATTAATATTTTATTATAACCGCATTATGTATTTTATTACAAATTTCTATACACATGCAAAACAATGATAAGATTGCTATTGTGTATTCGAATATAAATTCATATATGCATATTCCCAATGGAAGTGCTGTATTGTCAAATAAGGGACAGTTTCCATGGAAAAAATATCTGAATGATGTAAAGCAGCCAGATTACAAATATGCTGTGTAAAGTGCATGGGTGAATGCCCATGCACTTTACACAGCAACAACCTCTGGTGGTTCAGATGGTGGATGCTATATACCAAAATACAGGTAACCCCTGTATAACACGGTACTTCTATAGCACGGATTCACTCTAACACGGTTCGAGAATTGGGAACATCCTCGTATAACACGGTGCTTTTTTAGCACGGATTCACTCTAACATGGTTCGAGAATTGGGTAAAACCCTTATACAACATGAAATGTAATAGATTTTCACATACTTAAGTACTAATAGTTCATGAAAATTATTATTTTCGTGAACTATTAGTACTTAAGTATGTATATTTTCTTTTCCATCTTCTGTTGATACACGTAATCCTTCTCGAAACTTGTTTCAGTGTTGCCAGATCTCAATGCTTCTGATTTTGTGTTGCCAGATGTTTTCCCTTATTCCATACTTGCTTTATTTTTCATAAGTGCTTAGCACCATATAAGGAAATTTATAAAGATTCTTTAACTAAAAGCAAGCAATCTAAAATAGCATATCTTTTGCAAAAGGTAGAGCATGGATCTGAAGATAATGCAGAAAAATGCTCAGAGGATAAGGATATGTTGCCAAAAAGAAAACGCCCTTGGTTAATAGTGCTTAGTGATGACGAAGAAAACATTGTTTAATTTATATTAATATGTATCGCTTAAGAAAATTTTAATAAAGATATTTATCTTAATTATGAAAATACAGTCGATCCCCCTATAAGACGGTAGATACGTTCTGTTCTTTATGAATCGATTTTGTAGGAATCACAGCCAATCACAGCCCGACACATATGAAGTTTACGGACTACGGCTGTTTGAAAGGTTTTCTTCCATAAAATTAATCGATTCTAGACTAATCCGACTCAACATTTCCAAAATACGTATATTTGTTTTTGGAAATAATCCGTATAAACTACGCTATAAACAAAAAATTGTAGGATTACTTACCGAGTGTGCACCATTCGACATCGCCGTTGCTCAAGCTTGTTTTTGTCGTGGAACAGCTCAGCAAACCACAGCTGCGATTTCTGATGTTATTTTTCTGCGAAAACTTCGTTGAACTTTGGAGACATCATTAATATAAATAATTTTAATCGCCGTTGAATAAGAAATGTTTCTTTCACAAGAAATGTATAAAATTAAGTACTGTATTAGACTTACGGTACCTAATTTACATACTGTACAGACAATAGTTTGCCTAAACTCTCCGTAGGTGGCGCTAGACGGCGGAAAGCATATATATATAATTA